ATAGGAAACTGACGTTATTACGTTATTCTATTTGTTTTTTCCTAATCTAATGATGTCTCAAGCTTTGAGCGTACGTGTATTTTTATACAGCACAGATGATAATAATAAAAGCAAATTCAGTAAAATGCACCTTGGTCTGGTTGAAATAATATGTCTAGGTTTCGCACAAAGCTGAATATTCAAACGAAAACGTCTCCGACTTTTCCCTCTGTTTATTTATTTATTTAGACAGAAAGGATATGTCTGTTATTTATCCTGACAATTCGAAAGTTTTGCCAAGCTTTGGACATTTTCAGAGGACATTGTGTATCAGTAAATGCGTTTAACGAATTTATTAAATTTTCTTTAGTGTCCGATTTTAGTGTTGACCGGTGTTCAGATTATCGAATAAGACTTTAAAAAAATATTAAAACCACTAAAGAGCTGGGTCTATTATCCTCCCTTTAGATTAAAAAGATAATCCTTTTTTTAGCGTTAGAAGCCAGCGGCATGGGAGCTGAGAGACAATTATAACTCTTGAGACTAGAACACGCAAATTATAACTCCATGCGCCTATAGCCGGGAGGAGCTCATTCTGAAATAGTCAACCGTTTTCCACACTCTTCCAATATCAATTCTACACCTGCCGGACCCCAAGAATGGGGGCAGACGGCCTCCCAGAATACAACAAAATCACTTGTCCATTCCAAAAAGTCGGACGACGAAATCGGCTTCGATTAAAACGTCGGGTTCGAGCTCGGGTCGAGATGGCAGTCGAATTAATTAGAAATTCTCGCCCGGATATTTACACCGACTCCTGTCGATGGTCGTAACCCTTCTAAAAATAAAATTATAACTATCCGATTTGCAAAAATAACTGCTCGATGTTCGGAGCGTTTATTGTTTTTCTTGCGTCACACTTGGCCGCCTCCGAGTGAAAAGTAATACAATAAATATTAACACTGAAAATAGTTTTTTTTTTGTGGGGTTTTCAGGGTGTTCAAATGTCGCGGTTTTCTATCGATTGGTCAATCCTTACTACCAAAAAATACACTTCTCAAAGAACTCAGCTAAATATAAATAAAATCGAAGGCCCTTTAAAAACGTTTCCTTACATGCTTTATTATTTACACCTTCACTTTGTCTCAATTATTTGGCTTTGATATAAACATATAAATGGATAATTGGCTGTTAGTCTTTATAGTCCTCCTTAAAAGAACTAGGCTTAGTTTATTCAAATTGAAGTAAATTACGCTTCGATAACGGTCTTAAATCGTTTTTCCCAGCAAATACCGTCCATCTTCACTTAAGTTCCTATTTTGTACAACGATAATATAAAATGCTAAACATTTTTATTATGTCTGAAAGCTATGATATTGACACACAGAAAAGTTCGTTTTATCGGTAAAACTTAGTAAGAAAACTATAAAAATCGAAATAATTTTATTTAAAGCAAATTTTCTGTACACTTTTCCCAACTAGAAACCAATTTTTTCAATTCCCGAATTGAAAATTTTAAATTTTTGAGAAGAAATATAAACGAAGAACGCTTTTTGGGCCTCATTTTCATATCATTTTTAAAATTTCTCCTTTCATGAAGCTGTCCAAATAGGAGGGTGTGGAAGGACTTCACAGCCCAGCTTCATTTCTTTATTCACAGTATCACTAATAACATGAGATTACGAGGATACACAAATTTTTTTCTTTGAAAATTTTCATGTCACCGATTCTGCCCATGGGTTCGGTTAGGTTCAGTAAGTTAGGGACGGGTTACGCGTTTATCCTAGGTTTTTGTTGCGTTTGATCAATTTCAATGTAGTACGTCGTAGAGGTGGTTTCATCAAGCAAAAGTCGTTGTGAATGACTCCAGCAGATCACCCTCAGTTTTCACTGACGACCGACGCCGATTGTTATTTATTTATTTTTTTATATATTTTTTTGCAAACAGCTAGGTCAAAACCGGCACACAACATTTTTCCTCTCTGTATTTTCTACTTATGGTTGCAATGACCTGGGACACATCTGCACCCTTCACATACCAGCACACACCAACACTCGATATTCATTCACTCACCAATAACTACTTACAACACGCTAATAAATACATTCATTCCTCGACTCACATGCCATACGTTAAACAATTAAAGATAAATCGAGGGCCACCGCGGTACACGATATTCCGCCGATGACCACCCTCTCATTCTCACCATAAGACTAAGCCTAGAAACAGGCCATCGAGGTAGTGAAATATTCCGACGAACGGCCAGCTCTCATTCACACCAATTCCTGTACTATTTAAAGTAACCTTGCATCCATCATCATTCACGCTAATAAATACACTCATTCGTCTTCACACATGCTTCACTATGTACAAATAAATTATAAATAAAGGGCCACCGGGGTACTTAAAATTCCACTGATGGCCTCTCCTCTCATTCATACCAAAAACGACTGAACCTAGATAACTGACTGTCGAAGTACTTGGATATACTGTCGAACGGTCTGTACTCATTCATCCAGCATTCTCGCTAATAAGTACATATATTTAATATTGCACGTATTTTCACTACTCGTAAATATTCCTATAAATTCTACTGGCAGTCTCTGCCATGCACCAAGATTTTCTTTTCGTTTGGGGGTAGGCCACACCTTAATTTATAATGTTTTAGTATCTTACAATCCACCAGTATGTGATGTACTGTCACTGTGGGCATTATTTCTGTCGACATAGCTATTGGTGAGAGGCGTGTGGACTATCCTCAGTCTTGTTAAGATGGTTCTGTCTTTCTTTTTCTTTTTCTCCACGGGCCGATTGTTATTGTCATCGCAACTGAGAAAAATCTTTTTGAGACACTAACAACTTAACGCACTCTTCATGGTGCTTCAATTACTGGCGATCAGTGAGCTCATGAGCTACCCACCCACAAATTGGATTTTTTGACTCCACTGGTCTTTAAGTGTCTTCATATTGTGGGTGCACTTGTATTAATCTTTACTGAGTCATCTAAAAGTTTGTAAGCTTGAGGGACTTAGTCGTTATTGAACAATGGAAATCTTCTTCCTAAGGGTCGATTTTCCAATTCATTATGAAATGACTGACCGATTAAACTCATAAAATATTTTTTTACTACATATTCATTTTAATATAAGACAAGTAAAATTGTTGATTTGTATAAATTTAAAAATAAAATAAAACAACACTGCGGTGCGAAAAATCACCTAGAGGAATCACCCTCTAGTTATAACTAGGTCTCACTGCCCAACATGTCGCGAAGGCGTTGCCACTAAACTCCGGGGAGAATCAATCAGTATAGGGGTTTAGGCTAAGGATTATAGGATTAGGGCGAAATGAACTTGTGGACTTTTATGACATTTTTCACACACAAGGATTAAGGTCGTCCCGAATTGTGTGATTGGATACGTACAAGTTTACTATTTGTCGGAAGATTTCTGACTAGGGAAATCTGGATGCAATTTTTGAATCACACAGATAGTACATTCTAAATGGGGTTTATTATCATCGTGTATATCTGTCGTTTGCCTAGAAAATGTTTTGTAACGTCTAATCAGTTCCTGCATTTTTAATCTAGTATGTGGATTCTATGTTAGCCTTTTGTCGATATACAGCCCAAGGTAAACCTTAGTTAATTCTGCAAAGAAAAGGTTTGGGATGGCGTCCGTTCTTTACCAGAAAGAAAATTAAAAGATACACTAAACACAGTTTGTATCTTGTAAATTATGCTACTTGCCGTTACAGATATTATTTAGTTAATAAATTTAATTATTTTTATTTTACATTATTGTTGGACATATTAAACTTTCTTTCATGCTATATACCTAAAACTACTTTATGCTATATAGCTAATTAATTATTAGCTAGTTTAATTTTTAATTAAACGTAAGATTAAATGTTTTCTTCTGTATTCTTTTTATGTATTATTATTGTTATTATGTATCTTCTTTTTTGCTACATAAATTCGTAATTATTCTTAAATAAACCATCTTATTATTATTATAGTAAAGGTTAGGATAGGTATATTATACCACGTCAGATGCTAAAGGTTATGTGGTCTTTTGTAAAAATGATTTCTCGCCAATTTTTCATCTAAGGCTCAAGGCGATAAGAGTCTATAGGGAGCGATGTGAGAGGACGGGAGCTTGTTGGAGGACAGAATAGTATCGCCTGTAAAAGTGTGAATGATTATGTCAGGATGGGTAGGAAAGTCAGCCGTGTACTTTAAATAGGACCATGGGTACTACCCTCTAAACTATCCAAGGCCGGAGAGCCGGAGTTGGGAGCTATGAGTGTGCAATGTGCAGTAATTTCTTGGTCCGTGCTCGGTCATTTCTGATTGTGAGTGCTGAGCTTTATAGAGTCAGGGTGAAATGTTTTCAGTGAGCAGAGTCCAGTTCAGAGTCCGAGTTGCGTCATGAGTCTGAATGCTGAATGTAGTTAGAAGTGTTCGGTGAGCAGAGTGCAGTTCATAGACCCAGTTGCGTCGTGAGTCTGAGTGCCGAAAGGTAGATAGAGTTAGAAGTGTTCAGTGAGCAGAGTCCAGTTGAGAGTCAGAGTTGCGTCATGAGTCTGAGTGCTGAGTTTTAGAGAGTCAGAGTTGTTGGAGAAGACAGTAAATATAGCAAACCTATAGACAAGACCGCCCTACACCTGAGGGAGATATTCCCGCCCACGAGACCAAAATCTTACAGTCTAAGGGTTTTTTCGATTGCCAATCTCGTCATTAGCATAAAATATTCACCCGCGACCACTGATATTTCAAATGGCTTCTCCTTTTTTTTACACGATTCTGTTTTCTTTCCCTCTTTTCTTCTGTCTTCCGCGTTTTGCGTGGATCCGTCACAACTGCCGGATCAAATCTGTCGAGACAAATGGTCAATAAATGCGCTGATATATAACTTACAAATTGTACGTTATACAGTTAGAATCGGAACGGATTTATGTGGATGTATCTGGTCATTGGGCTTTGGATTAAATCCTATTTCTGATCATAGTTTGAAACAGGGAAAGGTAAACATTCCTCTATTATGGATTTGTGAATGTAAACGCGAGCCGTATCAGTGTCAGTTTGGATTTATTCATCATTTTCTTTTTAGCCGAACGTCTCATTTAAAACGATATTCACACATGCACCAATTTGTTTACGAGCGGGAAAAACGAGGGGACATGAAGTTTTGATGTAACGAGTCTGAAATTATAGCAGTTTTATCATACCCGCACATGGATATTTTTCAGTTCCTCACTGAAGATGGTACAAATTCGAAATGGGTATGAATGACATATCCAAACCCGCGAGATAGACGGACCCATTAAGGGACGTAGTAACAGTTCAAATTTGAAATATAATTTTTTTTAAAAACATTACTTATTTAACTTCTTAACAGCTCCAACAAAAAGAACGATAATTAATAAATTTATTTATTTCACACTTCCACGTAACTTTTATTTTTTAATAAATTGGCTGAATAGGGCCACGGAAATTATTGGAATCGTTCGTAAATGGTTTCCGTGCGTTTCGCAAATAGTGTACATTCTATAAAGGAAAAATGAAGTTTTACCAATTAAATAGCACTTCTCGCCATAATTAACGTTAACAGGGGAAAAACTAACGTGCAACAAATTTCCGTAAGTATTTATGTACTTTTTTAAACTAAACAAACAGCAAGGGCTATGTAAGGAACATGTAGAATGATTGATCTATGTTCACCCAAGAAATTATTTTACTTAATTATATTAACATTTTTTCATTCATTTCATCATTTTATTATGCATACATCCCCTAAACATTGCAGCTCTTATGACTTTACGTAATTAAAACTCCACCCCTTCAGAAAGCTCCTAACCCTTGAACCTCTTCAATCCTGTTCAACTCCCAACAAAAGCCATAGTTTTCCTAACAACCCTTTACATGTCCAACTCTCTGTACCATTCATTTCCCGACGAGAGTTTTACATAGTTCACCTAAACCCTAAGCCCAAAAAACCACACCATCATCTCCCTACCGACTTACTTTACTACCAATTATTGAAAAACTCCTGTTTTCGTAAAAACACCTCAAATCTTGTAATATAACCCTTGGCCATTGGATTTAGGTGTCATCTTATGGACATTATCGCATTTTCTCTTGAGAAGGAGTGCTGCTCGTAGGTCTTTTCCAGTCTTTTGATCGAGTACCTCGATTACAGGGCTAATCCAATGGCCTACTCTGTACACACTTTCTTCTCAAGTCCTGCCTAGCCACTAGGTACTTTAACGTAGGGGTCGGATCCATTCGCTCTCTTTTTTTACACGGGTGTTCCTCAGGTTAGCGTTACTGTAATCGGTATATACTGCTCATATCTTTTACCATCCAGAAACCGTTACACTAACATACGCTGATGAGACTGCCATTCTATCCTCCAACTCCGACCCTGTTATAAGACACCGAACCCTCAAGACAATCATTGTTCCCTAGAACTACCCTAGATTCATCCAAAAATCCAAAAACTTAACCTTTACTCTCTGACACATCACACTACCTCCCACTTGTTATAACCTCACCCCCACCTACCAAAAACGAGAAGACAAGTAAGACTGCTCACTGGACACAGCATACTCCGGAGGTATATTATTGCCTATGCAGATTTTGTTAGGATGAAGAAGAAACAGCGGAACATGTCCTTTGTTTGTGCGAAGGCCAATGCAGACTAAGATTCCTACTCTTCAGAAGAAAAGCCAAGGCCTGAAGGACCCGGGAACCGTTAACATAAGATTGGATTTAATAAAAAGCCTTAAGCTTATCGAACGGCTTTAATGCATAATAGACCAATATTATGTGCAAGCTGTAAAGACGCCGACTTCCTTTAATCGTAACCTCAATCATCCTTGGGCTGAATCTAGACAAGCCGACCTAGATTCCCCATACACGACTCAAAACGATTATTTAAGGGGACTAAGAATACTGATAGACAACTGATCTGAACTCTCTGTCAACAGGAATATATTCATGTACGGCAGAGAACTATGGGGCTCGAGCGAAACTTTCAATCTCCGCAGAATCTAGATTCTACAATCACGAATCCTTTGATGATTCTCAATCCCCATTATATAACGACCATGAATGTTTCTTTCATAAAAGATGTTGCAAGATCCCACTACAAAAAAATCTACTAAGCTCCAATCAAACCGTCACGTACAACTCTCCCAATAATCTTCCTCGAAGTCTAAAAGGACAGTTGCCCCGTCACCTGATATCAAAGAGTGAAAGTGATTGTGAATCTTTGATTCAGAAGTTCCACCTCTGTATAGCTTTTTCACTCAGGTTGTATAAAAAATAACCCTTGTTAGAAGGATCTTTGGCCGGTGATACTGGGAAAGAAGTTCTTTGTATGCTACCTTTTCTTAATGCTAACTCGGATAGTCTCGCATGTTGGAAAACTCTCATGGGCAAGAGATTGGATATAGGAACTTAGGATGTACCCTGTATGTCTCTTCTAGAATGATGAGTCATTCCCAGATGCCCAGCTATGTTCCATTCTGACCATAGATTATGCGCCTTCTATCCAATTGCGACAAGACAACAGTGGTTGGTTTAACTCCTTCACAATTTGAATATCTCTGAAAGCCTTCAACGCATTCCAGAGTTTGAGGCCAATTGTTCAGCTTGGTAATTCGAACAGCTCCCTTCAGCCTAAATTTGCTTTCCTTTATACTGTTCCCTTTACACTATGCACTATGTACCAACCCACCACTCTATCATCACTATATGATTCAGAGGAGTGATAGGACGATTAACCCGTCACTGGCATTTAAGAAAACACCTACATGGGCATATGTAACGATGATCCCATTTACAGATTATATAATGAGGAGGAGGAACCAGTCACCCATATCATCTTCCAGTGCGAAGCAACAGCTCAATGGAGATTTAACCTAACGTACGAAAAAAATCTAGAGAATGAAATTGTAGCAGCGACAGTCAATGTCCTGATACTTGCAATAAGAAGGATTGAGTCTATTGCACTGAACTAGGGAACTAGGAAGGTGCAAGCAGACAGAAGGCTACAGTGCCTGGGGAGCGCAAACCCCACTTCCTAGTATCCTCCATCCATCTCCAACTCCATCATCGGTAAATAGGTGTAAATATAGAGATACTTCCTAATGTTTGGCGAACTCCTTCTTTGGCGACAAAATAAGCGCAAGATGATGCCGTAGTGAGGAGTCAATCACAAAAGCAGGTTCAGTCATGAAAACCTTTTTATACAGACATAACCAGGTGTTTTCCTTTAAAGTCAAAATTATCCGCTGAAATCAGCAATGGCACAAAGAAAGTTCAATACGACAAAACTCTACAGTACCAAACCCTGGAGAATACCAAACCCTTCCTAGTATCAGCATTATCGAGATCTTTATTGTTCAGGAATGCCTTTCCTAGGTAAAATGGCCTTCCCTTGCTATTGAGCATTTGAAAAGAATGGCTTGGGTTGTCTCTGGCTCCTCTAGATACAGTCGACGTTTGACATCACATGATTTTCTCATTTTCTTAAAGTGGTATTTTGCTGAAGGATGTCGAAGATACCTGTTATGATTTGTAGTGCCTTTCTTTTGAGGACTCTTTTGTTTGTTGAGTTGTATTTGCAAGTAGTCTTTGTCCTTTCGTCACGCCTGGTATACTTTCTCAATATTGGTTGTGTCCTTTAGTAACTAAAGAGTTCCAGTTTTTTTTTACTATAGCTGTCGTACTTATGCGGAAAACCTTGGTACCTGGTGTTGTTCCTTTTTAGTCTAGTTACCTGAAAATCTCCTCATGGTGGAGCCTTTGGAACCTTTGCGTTGAGCCATTGGTAGATCCAATATTTCATAGGACATTGAGGCAGATTCAGACAAGTTTTGAGTTGATTCCGTAAACTTAGAGTATCTTTTCAACTGCCTGGCTATTTGCCCGTAATATTATTGTTATATGCGTACAATTCTATAGCTAGTATTCGTCTTAATAGTTCTAGGTGTGCTGTGTTTTCACTGTCTCTTTTAGACCCAGTCATCATTGGTCATCTGTTGATTTTCCAATTTTTTTAGAATAGAATTTTACTGTAGCATGTTCCTTATACATGTTAGATTGGTAGTTCCTTTTTTTGAGAAAGACACTTGCGTTGTGTTTGCGCGTAGTCTTTTTGCTTTCCTCAGATTTCTTTATTAATGTGGGTTCTTATTTCTGCCAGAAAAAGGATATGGATCTGTATCGTTACTTTTTGGCTAGGATGTGTGCTACCTCGAAATGAGTTTTTTTTTTTAAAACCAGTTTTTTAGGTTATCGGGGCAGTTCCAGACGAATTTTGAGTTGGTCTTGTAGGCTTGCAAATGTTTTAGAGTTCCCAGGCTATCTATTACCCTTGAGGCGTTTGCTATTTATCTCATGTTTGCAATGTTTGTTATGTTGCCGTTTATTAATGTGGCTCTCGTTTTTGTCACAAAAGTAATTTAGGCTTGTGCTGTTCCAAGGCTCCTTTTTTATCTAGTTTGCCTTATTGCCCGAAATTTCTTTATGTTTTGGAACAATAGCGTTAGGCGAAAAAAGTAAAATACGTTCTAAGAGGTACGTGCAGAGACTGGATAAATTACAATGGCTAATCCCAAGACAATGGCATAATAGGATTGTCTTTCCAAACTCGGTGATTTTAGTGATGAATATAGATTTTTTTCTAAGTCATGTGTTATTGTATACCTAATTGACTCTCTGTTCGCCTTCCTGTGTTTACCGCGTACTGTTTGGAATCTTTTGTTTTAAAATGTTTTGAACAAATCCTCTCAATTACTCTTTTAGAAATGTAATGTGTACCCGTGTTTGTTCAACACGGCGATTTATTTACATTTACACGACAGCAGAGGGAATACAACTTTGTTCTGATAATTTTAAACAAAACAACGCGTCAGCCTTGTATATTTAACGCCGTCCGCGTCGTTGAACATTGCCATTGTATAACAGATTACTGAATACTGAAATAGTTCGATGTTCCTGGAGTCAAGTCGGAAGGTTGAAGGGAAACAAGAGATGAGTCAGAGACGGTATTTTCTGCTCATTTCACTCCACTACCTTACAGGAATGTACTCATTTGGCTTCTAACTTCTATAGTTAACTTACTGCATTATTAATAGGCGTTTCGTCTCTCCGGCGGACGTTTCAATGCTCGCTCTTCTATTTGAAAACCACAATAAAGCTTAAAAAATTATGAAATGTTCAGACAATATTTAAAAACGTCGGACAGAGGATTTTCGACTTTAGAAAAAGCCTGGAAGATCATACATTAAATTTTCGACTTTTTTTTTAAGAAAATAATTTCTTCACTGAGAAGATTTCATAAAGGGCGTTAACGGTAGAGAAAATTCTGTCATCACTATCTTGTAAATAAGCGAAAAGAAAGAAAAAGAGAAAAAAAAAGACAACGGCAGAAATTGTCAAAGCTTTGAAGACCCTTACCTCAAATTATAATGAGATTGGCTGTTCAAAAAAAGGTATGACTTTTCCGCTTTCTCTGTTATATTGTAATGCTAAAAAAATTTTATAATCAAAATATTTGGTTCTTGTGTCCGTTTGTAGCAGATTTGGTGCATGGTATGGTAAGGTATGGTAATGAGGAACCAGCTTTTGTGATTGACTCCTCACTGTGGCATCATCTTGCCCTTAGATTGTCGCTGAAGAAGGATTTCGCTAAACATTAGTAAGTATATCTAAATTTACACCTATTTACCGATTATGGAGATGAAGATGGATGGAGGATACTAGGAAGTGGGGTTTGTGCTCCCCAGGCAATGCATCCCTCTGGCTTATTGTACCTTCCTAGTTCCTTAGTTCAGTGCAGTAGACTCAATCCTTCTTGGAAGTATCAGGACACTGACTGTCGCTGCCACAATTTCATTCCCTAGATTTTTTCGTATGTTAGATTACATTTCCATTGACCTGTTGCTTCGTATTCGAATATGACATGGGTGACTGTTTCCTCCTCTTCCTCCTCATTACATAATCTGCAGATGGGATCAGCGTTGTATATGCCCATGTTGTGTAGATGTTTTCTCAGATGCCAGTGACCGGTTAGTAATCCTATCACTCCTTTGAGTTTAACCCTCTCCAGTTGCAGCAGTGTTTTTGTCTTGGTGAGGGTTGTTTCATCATAAGTTTACTATGTCTAGCACCTCTAGAGTTTATCCACTTCTCCTTTTGTTTTGTTTGGATCCATTCTGTGATGGAGAATTCTACATTTGTTTTTGTTATGCCAAGTATAGGTTCGGGGCCTATGTATGGTCTTGCAGATCCTCCTCTGCCCAGTGTGCCTGATTTCTCGTTACCCAAAATTCCTCTGTGTCCTGGCACCCAAGGTATCATCAGGTTGTTGTGTTTCCCCAGGTTTTGGAGATTTTGGATGCGTTCACTGACTAATTTTGATGTGATTTTTTGTACGCACTAATGCTTAGCTGCTTGGCTATCCGATCTTATAAAAATTTTTGTCAGTGTAACTTCTTTTAGGATTTTCTACGGCACAAGCATTGATGGAATTTATTTCTGCTTGAAAGACTTCCCTAATGAGTTTGATTGCTCATTTTTTTGGGCTTGTACAGAAAACACCCGATCCGGTTCGTTCGTTTGTTTTGGAGCCATCTATATACCATATTATTTCTGATGCTCTCCTGTGTTCTTCCTCTACTTTATAGTCCGTTGAGACTTCATAATATGAGTAAAGAATATTTCCGGGAGATTTGGTTCATAGACAACTTTTTAAAAACAGGCTTAGTAATTTTACATAACTAAAAAATGAAAACTAGCAAACGTTTTTTAGTCGTTGCGAGTAAAAGTAATTGTATCAGTAGTTAATAATAATACACAGTGTAGTTAGTAAATATTTCAGTAGTTGTAATCATTTTTACAGAGCTACAACTACAGTTGAAACGAGTAAATCCTTATCGCTAATCCTTTACTTACTAAATAAAACCAGCACACTTTCACACCGTTATCCAGGCGATATTTATTTAAATTCGATTTCTCCATGTAGTCTGCGCAGTGACCACGAAGGTTATTTAAAAATAATAATAATTATTTACACCTGCGACTTTAGTTTCTGTAAGAAATTTGGTGATTCAAAGCATAATATGATAAAATTAAACATGATGGAAGAAGCCACCCATTGGTGACACATCCTCACACTAAACCCTCAAGTAACTCCCTAGGCAATTGCCTCTTTAGTCGATATGGAGGATTTCCAGGTAGGGTAGTGAGGAAAGTTGTTGGACGAGGGGATGTGGGTGTAGAGAAAGAGCATTGTGGAATTTCTAATAATGTGTTCGTACAAGGTTGTGAACGAATGGAATATGGAGGACAGTGTGAATAGTTTTAGTGAAGAGGTAGAAGGGAGCATTAAGTAGTTTTCTTAGGGATTTGGATTGGCGATGCGGGATGAATTGGTATGTTTGTGTGAGTCTAGGTCCATATCGAACGAATGAGTTTTGTAAAGGGTAAGCTTGTTGTTAAGGTTTAGGTAAGATCAAGAGTTTGTAACGGCAGTTCTTGTCTTTTTATTTCAGACGAGTGTTGATTCCCCGTCAGCTTTCTATCAAAGTCCCAGTACTATGTCAGCGGTGGGTGGGTATCGGCATGCCATTCAGTCGTAATGAAGGGGACTGTGACTTTCTTTGTGCGAAATTGACTTGAACACATTTCCTTATGTTCATTTAGTCTCTCCGTTTGCGGTACCAGTCTTCTAATAGAGTTTGCACAAAGGAGTTTACAACGGATGTGTTAGAGTGAGAAGAGAGGATAGCCGTGTCACCGGCAAACGTGGAGATGACTGTTTTGAGAAGTAGGAATGTCAGCAGTGCGTATCGTAAAAAGGATCCGGCCAAGGATACTTCCATGTGCTACTCCAGATTTTACTAGATGATAAGACGAAAGGTGTGATCCCTAACAGACACGTCAATACAGGTCTTTAGGGTAGGATGGGAGGATAAGGTAAAAGTACTGGAAATAATCTTCTTGAGTTTCCACGAACATACTAAAAACGACGGAAATTGAACATACTCCAAAACTAGGAATTATACAAACACAACATTTTTAACACAAGTAGTATACAAATTAATTGACGACACATGCACTCCACATCCAATATTTTACATAGGTTCCCGTGAATCGACGTTTCAGATATATTAGAGATATTTCAGAAGATTATTCTAAAAAAAGTCAAATTTTTAATTAATCTGTCGTGTAGGATTACATCCTGAGGTATTGACGTCTGTGCACGGGATATCCTTTATATGTGGATATGTAACCTTACTCGCCCTAACCCTAACCCGGCAAAACATAACCATAACTTCTCACTACCCTACCTTACCATACCCATGACCTTATAAAAGAGATTGCTGGCGCTTTGTATTTGTACATTTTCTCAGCTTCATGGAAATACATTGAATATTGCATATGTAACCTAACCCTACCAAATCTAACCTGATCTTACCTAACATAACCTAACGCGTCCCTAACCTAATCTGATCTAACCCAACACATGCGTACTCCCGGATAACGCGAGAAAAATTTTGTGTATCCAGACCAAAAGCCTATTTATATTTAATGCTTCATCTACGATCAGCATGATCTCACTCCCCTGAATGATCAATTATTCTATTCCATGGGTCATTGCTTGCAGGTGCAAACATTCGAGGGAGAAGATGTTTGTACATAATCATCCCTAACCTAACCACTCCCTCGGCCTTATAAAAAAAATTCATTCGCGCTTTGCACTCGCATGTTTACTCAGTTTCAAGAAGAAAATCATGAATGTATAACCTTATCCAGCCTAAATAACATAAACTAACCCAACTGATATTCGCTGGTAACGCGAAACTGGCAACGCAAAAAGGTATATTTTAGCTCAAAAAACATATCCACGTTGAAACAACGTGAGGGTCCTGTACTCCTAAACGACAACGCCAGACTTCATCTTTCATGGGAGACTGTGGCTTAATTAAATTAATTAAAATTAATTAAAATTAATTAAAATTAATTACCTGGGCTACGACCTTCTTTGACTTACACCTTTTCCCCAGGCTTGTCTCCAACGGATTCTCATCTGTCTAGAAATTTGTACAACTTCATTAAGGTAAATTTTTGAAAATGATCCATTAGTTTAAAAAGTGTTCTCTTCTTCTTAAAAGTCTGTATATTTCAGTTTTAAAATTAGGACAATTGATTCCATGTTGTGAAAAGTTTGTAGAAAAATTTTGTATACTTTGAATAAAATTATTGTAGTTCGATTTTGATAATTTTTTTTAGTACTAACTAACATAACTCTTACTAACGGCAAGAGCAAGTTGGTCGATATCCGGTAGAGATAGAATTTATGCAATTTTCCTTCGTAAAATATTTAATTTGATTAGAATTTTCAATTGTAAAATAAAATTTATTAAAAAAACAGAGTTTAAATTCTTTTGTATACTATTCACAGTTTTTACAATACTTCTGACCTTATAAATCAAGAGATAAACCTTAGAAAATGTATAGAGACTCTTCGAGTGAGATTAACTAGAGAAAAATAAATTTTTCTGTTTTTATGTGGGAAAGAGATTTATATATCCGTGTTTGAATTGAAGTTGACATTAAAGAGCTCTTAATCCGATCTGCTAATTCGAGTAAATAAAGTCCCCCGAGGTTCTACAGTCCGGGTCACGTCGTTTGCTATCGGCTGATAGGCACATTGCTGATCGTTCATCTAGGATTTATTCCGACGGTCACGTTTGTTGTTATTTCCTCTGGAAAAACATTCCGAAATGTTGGCCAGCTCGAGCGAGAAACTTGGAATAGAAGGAAAATTCTTATTCTAATTAAATTCCTTGCTAATTATAACTGGCGGGTTTATAGGGGAGGACCTTAAAAAAAACTAAAAACAAAAAAACGCCCGGTTTCGTTTTTCACATCCTCCAGACATTTATTACTTCAGTGGTCACAACCATTGAAGTTTAATCGACTACCCTCATGAACGAATTTCTTGTCCTTGAATATCTATTGAAATTTTAAAAATCCTCTCGGTTCTTATAAAGCCGCCCACTACGAAATCCACGCTGATACCGTCGGATATTTAAAAAAAAAACAAAAACAAATTAAAGAGTTGACATGGAAAATGTAGTTATTTAAATTAGTTCTATATGTACTGTAATTTTTAATTTTTTTTTTTAGATGTTTTATTTACATTTTTAGATTCACTTAACTCACATCATAAAAATGCAAAATTTTCGTAAAAACAGAAAAAACAATAGAATGAACGATCTTGATATAACTATTAAAAAAATAAATAAACACTAATCACTTGTTGGCATACTAAAGAAACTTACTCAGGCAGATTATTAAACTCACCCTCAAATCATCCTTTTTTTATTAAAAAAAGTATCTTACAAACAGGCTCTTAGCTTTTCTCATACAGATTATTAGAAATAGTTAAAAATAAAAATACGTTAAATGGATACTCTAATAGTATTTTAAAATATGGTTGTATAAAAATGTTCAAAATTTAAATAAAATTGAAAATACAATACAAAATTAATTTTCTTTTTTAAATATTAATAACCCAGGTCAGAGCTTAACGACTACAAATACAGTGGCAGGCAAAAAAATCCAACCACTTGTAATATAACGATTTGTAAATATTTTATATATTAATCAAAGTTTTACGTTTTTTAACGTT